CCCGTAGGAGTGAGTGTGAGTGTGTGTGGTTGTTTGTCTACATGTCAGCCCTGTGATAGACTGACAACCTGTCCAGTATGGACCCCACCTCGCACCCAATGTCAGCTGGGATTGGCTCCATCCCCCCATGACCCTCATCAGAATAAGCAGTATAGATAATGGATGGATGGATATTACAAACCACATGCGCTCTGAAAGTGTTAAAATATCCCCAGGTACATGGTTGCAATACGTCATTTTAAGCTGTCAAAATCCAATTACTACTAGTTTCCTAGAATGTTGCCAAAACATTCATCATAGCCATTAACTGTGCGCATGTCCTTGTGGAAACGTGTTTGCACATAGTCAGCTGGTTTATTCATTCAGTCAGTTGAGAGCAGCACATGACCGCTTGGTGTCTGTACATAAGGATGTTCAACATGTTTTACAGTATTGAAACAGTAAATGTAGAAGATGGTGTTTGCTAGAGGGTTTGAGTGGCGGCTGGGTAAATTACATGTAGTTCGTAGCTCTTATTGTGATGCTCTGGGCAACACAGCTTCGTGACTGACTCACCACACTCAGGCTCTGGGCAGCAGTATTGTTTTTGAGGCTTGTTGTTCCCACCTTCCTGCCTGCATTAAATCAAAGTTGTTCTCCTTGTTCCACCTCCTTTATTTAATGAACTTTATGAACCCATACATCAAACCGTCACAGTGTCTTGGAGTGCATGCACGCTACATAATTCTGCTGCAGCCATTAACCCAGCACCACATACAGAACATGTCATAACATCACATCCATGCATATGGCAATGTGTTACCCAGGCGGCAGACGTTAGTTTGACATGAAAGCAGGAAGCGCCTTCAGGGTCTCAAAACAAAAGGCCTGTCATGACATCCACTGGGCACATACACCTCCACTTCTCCCCAGATACCACCCATGATGCTTGTTGGGATGGTGCCATTTTGTTGCATATGTGGACACACAGGAAATGTTCTCATGCCTTCTTTGTCTTTTGTCTGTTTCTTCTATGAACCACATATCTGGAATAAAGAAAAATTTATTCCAGAGAATCTCAGTATTTGTCTGTTGTTGTAGAGGCATCCATACACGCTTGAGTTGCTTAATTTTTATTCACAAATGCTACTCCATACAGTTAGTCTGTTTTTTTTCCCAATGCTTGAAGACACTTGTCCAAATGATAATCACCTGTCTGTGTTGCCCAGACCTGCATGTTGTCTTGTTTGGCCTGTTGGGTGAACATGCAAAGCCTGAAACACTCAAGCTGATATTTTGGTTATTTTAGCATCTGGATCTGGATCAAACATACAGGAATCCAATCAAGAGATGTGAAAGAAAAGTACTGAAAAAGATGACTGAATAGAAAGTAATTTCATTGTAAACTGATAAAACGACTATTTTTGCCCATCATTTTAAACACAATAACATAATGACATCATGAAAATATGTCTAGAATTTTTTGAGAATACTCTGACATCTCTTGATCTGTCCAAATCCACGCGTGCACAGCTTTTCGAGACTGAAGACGACTGGAAGCTGTAACCATTGTCATTTATTTAACTTAGTTTTTGATTTGTAATCAGTTTCATGTTGTGGATTATTAATTTAATTAATCAATTTATGATTAAATGTGCTTGACAATACAGTGTGCACAAAGCGCTGAACACCATCAGCATCTGTCAGATTTCAGCTGGCCCTTTTCACAAGACAGCAACAAAAGGCATCTTACAAGTTAAAGCACATATCACTTCCTACCTGCAGCTGCATGTAATGTATATGTGTACAATGTAGTTTTCACGCCACCAGCGGCAGGCTTTCATCAGGCCTCCCCATTCATACTGGCACAGTGCCAGGCTCAGTAAAGGCCTGAAGGAGACGGGGGGTGCAGCACACCAACTCCACCTCCTCACTGACATCGTGTGCATCTTCGGTTCCGAAGCCTGTTATTACTGAGCAGCGTGCTGTAGGCTGTCAAGTCTGTCACACACAGCGTACAGTATGTGCCTGAATGTGGTGATTACTGTGAACACTTGCGTACCTTTCTTCCAGTAAACATGGCAATAAACAGTGACGTGTGTTCAGTAATGATGGAGGAACTAGAGAGAGGGTGGGGGAGAATCTCTACAAGCTGGGACAAGCACGGAAACATACAGTAGGAGCACTTAACTAATCATTATATATACAGGCACAGAGGAGCCACTCGCTGCTGAGGGGAACATTTCTCTAACATTTATGAAGTGACAGTCAAGTTTACACACTTCTGTTCGAGACTAAAGAACTTAAAATAACAGCAGAAAAGTGTCCAACAAAGGAGATGAGACAGAGACTGTACTTCTGAGAGCAAGTATAGCAAGACCTGAAGGTCCCCAACATGTTGGATAAAATGACAGAACTGAAACAGGTGGAGCGTAGAAATGCAACGCAAGGGTAGAACTAGAAGAAGGCCATGATGGTTGGTGTGAGAGGAGGGATGGTCCCTCATCAACCTCCAGGACACATGAATGTCCACCACAAACCATTTGTGCTTGAGATTCCTTATGATGGACCACGTGGGCCAGTTTTGACCTGATGGATAAAAGATCATGAGATCTTCAGTGTGCTCTGAGGCATCCACCTGGATCCACACTGTTGTCTGCGCTTTCTGAAGCTGTCAGCTGTGGAACTGTTAGAACATCAGCTGCTGAGTTGTTTTAAGCTGAAACGTTCCCAAGTTTAATAGTGATAAGATGAGCAAATTGTTTGATGCTACAAACTTATTGTTGAGTCTTCTGGAGGAGTCATGGGTCTGTTTACACATTGGACTCATTCACAGGCACAAACTGGTCAGCTCATCTGTTCACAGCTCATCCAGCTAAAGGAACCGTGAGTCATGACATGTTGATCACAGCCAACAGTGTCGTCCGACTCGTGTTCCAGTTTGAAATGCATCAGCTTTTGTCTGCAGCATCATGTCCAGTTATGCTACTATAGCAAATACCTGAAGAGAACTCTCAAGATTTTGGACAAGTTGTTTATATTTACACTTATAGATAGATAGATAGAAATACTTTATTAATCCCAATCTGGGAAATTGCATTGTTTCAGCAGCGGTTCACACTCAATATCAAGCACACATACCAATAAATAGAAGAGATAACTCACTAAAAATATAAAAATATAAAACAAAAAATAAAATACGTTAAAAAGTTAAAAACAAACCCAACACAATCAAGTACATATACATAATCACATGATGAATCAAACATATGCAAATGTATACAAAGCTGATTCAGTATACAGTTACTATCAATCCAGGAATCGTCTAATGCTCCAAGATGATGTGTTGTACAAATTAATGGAGTAAAGCAGGAAAGATTTCCTATAACGTGCTTTACGGCAACAAAGCTGTCTAAATCTTTTAGAGAAGGAGCTCTGCTGTCTATCCAGCACAAATCGGAGAGGATGGTCAGGGTTATTCATAATTGATAACAGCTTGTTCAATGACCTCCTCTCCATCACTGCCGCAAATGATTTCTGGTTACAGCCAATGAAAGA